AGGGGCCTTTGTGTTATCACAAAGGTGACCACCTAGGAAGGCAGACAACTGTGTCTTGATTTGCCTGGAGACTCTCCCAAGTTGCCCTAGCCTGTCCAACTTTAAATTTGACTCTGAACTCCTCGCTAGCTCTGATTCTAGGATTTCACTGGGAAGTTTACATCCTAGACACCAGTTAATTCTTTCTTCCTACTGCCAAAAGAGAAGTATCTTAAGAGGCAGCAAACCAATCAGCAATCTTTAGAAAAAACTGAAGCCTGCTCATCCCTTTGGGTCTTAAACACAACTTGGAACCCCAGCCCGCACCAGCCCAAAGGCAGTCCATCCAACTTCACATTCATCCTTGTCACCCAGTGTCACTTATCCTCACAGATTCTTATCTCCAAACTATCCTGGAATTCCTTCCCCTTATCTTCTTTCCATCAAACATAACCCATTCATTTGGAAAACATTTATCAAGCCCCTATCCTGTGTCAGGCACCTGGTTGGAAGCTGGGGATACCAAGATAGCATCTCTTCACTCAGGGAACTAAGGGTCTGCTGAGAGAGAATATAAAGAGATCACTGTTTTAAAGGGTGTTAAGTGGAGCCCTAGAGGTAGAGAAGATTAAGACTAAGCTCTTCCCTCAAACACAGACCAGTAGAGTTAAGATGTTGAATACCGAGCCCTTAGCAATCCTCTCACCTGATTCCTCTCTGCCATCCCTTCATGCAACACCTACCTACATTTTTCCCTGCATCCTTTTGCATCTTTGCAAACCTAACATTCATTTCTCTAGCAGAATGATTTTCTTGCAGTGTCTCATGCCTGTAATCCCAGCACTTTAGGAGGCCGAAGTGGGTGGACCACTTGAGGTCAGAAGTTTGAGGTCAGCCTGGTGAAACCCCATCTCTACTAAAAATACAAAATTAGCCAGGCATGGTGTCACACGCCTGTAATCCCAGCTACTTGGGAGGCTGAGGCCGTAGAATCACTTGAACTGGGAAGACAGAGGTTGCAGTGAGCTGAGATCACACCACTGCACTCCAGCCTGGGCAACAAGAGAGAAAGTATGTCAAGAAAGGAAGGAAGGGGAGGGGAGAGGAGGGGAGAGGAGGGAAGAGGAGGGGAGGGGAGGGGAGGGGAGGGGAGGGGAGGGGAGGGGAGGGATGGAGGGAAGGGAAGGGAGGGATGGAGGGAAGGAAGGAAGAGAAGAAGGGGGAAGGGAGGGAGGAAGGGAGGGAGGGAGGGAGGAAGAGAATAAAGGAGAGAGGGAGGAAGGAAGGAAGGAAGGAAGGAAGGAAGGAAGGAAGGAAGGAAGGGAGTCAGCCTGCCTGGAACATAGCAGACACAGAATAAATATTTGTTGAATAAATAATGTCACCCCTGTGTTTAACACCATTCAGTAACTCATACAGAGGTGCTTGCAATATTTTCCCACTGATTTATCACTAATGAGAAGTGATATATATATCACAACAAATATATCGCTGCAGGTATTATTCTATAAAATGTCCAAATCTAAACTGTGCCACTCAATAACGCTTTATACTTGCAAAAACACATGTGCCCACCACCCAGATCAAATATAAGACATTTTCATCAGCCTAGAAAACTTTCTCATGTCCCTTCTCATGTCAGTCCTTCTGCTCAGAGATAACCACTACTCCATCTTTAATCACTACATGAGTGTCACCTATTCTTGAACTTCATACCTTCAATGGAATCATACAGTAAATACTGCTAGTGACTTGAGTATTACTATTTTGTATTCAGGTACCTTTACTAGAGCATCTCAAATGAAAAATGCCCACCCAAAACTCCAAGATACCAGTGGCCACTTTCAGGGCCCCATATTTCATATTGATTTCTTTGTTTTTACCAAAACCTATTTCCTACACGTATCAACTAGGAGGTGTCAGAAAAACAGTTTTCACTAAAGGAAGGAAGAAACAGATAATGAATATCACAAAAAAGATTCTCATCTTAATACCTATGAGTTTATATTTGTATGAATGTTATGTTTGTTGATCGACTAATTAGATAATGTCACCTTCATTCAAGAAAATAAATTTTTAATAGTGGCACATTAGAGCCAAAGAAAACCTTCTAATGAAGACATTTAAACAGAGGAAAATCTCAAGAAGGAATGAAAGCAAAAGTAGCACTAACTGAGGGCTTATGATGGTCTGGTCATGAATTTGAAGATGAATATGCCACACCATAGCTCTAAATTGGTATTATCTTTCTAGAAAATAGTTTTCTAGAAAGCCTTTATGTTTTTGTTCTGGTAATTTTGTTTCTATAATCTTACCCTAAAGAAAAGTTTAAATACAAATAAGATTATAATGAAAGATCCCCAAACGTGAGGGGATTATTAAATAAATTATAGTAAGTCTTCATGGTTGAATATTACAGGAGCTTTAACAATATATTCTTAAGAAATATTTAATGACAAAATAAATACTCAAAATATGAAGTTAAGTTTTAAAAAGAACAGGCTACAAAGCTATAGCTATGGGGTGATATAAATTATGTATGTATGTATGTACATAAGCATATTTGAATATAAGTACTAACATATGCATTAATCCACATAAATGGGCCAGGCACAGTGGCTCATGCCTGTAATTCCAGCACTTTGGGAGGCCAAGGCAGGTGGATCATGAGGTCAGGAGTTCCAGACCAGCCTGGCCAATATGGTGAAACCCCATCTCTACTAAAAATACAAAAATTAGCCAGCTGTGGTGGATGCACCTGTAGTCCCAGCTACTTGGGAGGCTGAGGCAGGAGAATAGCTTGAACCTGAGAGGTGGAGGTTGCAGTGAGCCGGGATCATGTCACTGCACTCCAGCCTGGGTGACAGAGCAAGATTGTCTCAAACAAACAAACAAACAAAAAAAACAGAAACAACACACACACACTCATTTACATTTCCCCCACCCTTTGACTAAAAGTGCATACTTGAGAACACCCTTTTACAACAATAATACATCTATTTCTTCATCTGTGCACCTTGTTAGGCAAAAGATAATGTTAATTTAGACTTTTAGCTATTAATAAATATTATTTTGCAAACCTTTGATTCAATGTTAATGAGGATATGAGGGGGAAGTATTCATACTCTGCTGGTGGATGGAAAAATTTCTATAGCTATTTTCAATGGCAATTTGATAGTCCTTGGGACAAGCAATACCACTTTTTGGTATATCTGTCTTAGAGAAGCAATCTGCATATGTGCCCAAGTCCATATACACACATTGCAACATTGTTTGTCATTAAAAAAAAGAGTGTATGCACTCATCAACCAGGGAATGGCTAACTACAATGTATCCGTACCAGAAAATATTATATAGCAATGAAAAATAGTGAAAGTTTGAAAGACTGATATAGAAAATTTTAAACATATTTTTGAATGAAATACAAGGTGGAAAATAATATGTAGGGTATGATATTTTTGCAAAAGTCAAAGAGAAAGTATTATTATACATACTCCCATATATATGATGAAAATGCACAGAAGAAAAAGGTAACTTTGAATAAACTATAGGATATGATTTAAAAAAAAAAGATACCCAACATATTGGTAATGTGGTTACATTTGGAGGAGACATTGGGTTTGATGGGAACATGGTCAAAGGGGATTTTAACATTCTCAATATTTTCATTTTTTCCAAAATAATGTATTAACTTGAAACTGTATTTTAATTTGAAGGTAAACTTTTTAAAAAATTCAAATTGCTCTCTGAATGCACTAAGTTCTTCTTTAAAGACTACATGGTATTTTTTTTTTAATCAACACCAAGTACTTTATTTAATAAACAGATAGTATGCCCACAAGGCTATTTCTGAATTACCTAATCTTAACACAGTGAACATAGAAGTCTTTAGCCAAATTTACAGTTAGTTTAACTACTGACCAACTTAGCTTTATTATATTAATTTCGTGAATAAGGAAATTAAGTTCCAAACAGAGCAGAGTGTTCAAGTGAAAAATATTCCCATTTACTCGGTCAATTTTTACTGTTTAAACCGTTTGGAATCTAGTGGGTCAGAGTGTTGGTTTCAGTTGTAACAGACTTCATCGCATCAGAAATTGTACTTGTTTTCATCCTTTCAAGGAAGCTCAGACCCAGGAAAATTTCCATAGTACCTTATTGAACAAGATAAGTAGGTCATGAATAACTGAAATAATATACTTTACCCAATCTTACAATTTCTTCCCTTCATTTTAATAGGTATTAACTAATGTTGACTATCACATAATGCTTTTCCTCATAAATATGATCTTTTGCAGTTAAAATATTATTAATAATTCATAAAGAAGTGTGAATGAATATGTGTATGTTCCTTTTGGCCAATAGTTAAAAGGATTTCTAACAGAATATTATTCTAGAAACATCATCTATTTCACTTCATATTTTTGTACGAAACCATTATATTTCTGAGAAAAAGTGAAGAGATGTGACATTTAGTAATAAGATAACTTAAAATGTTCTGGAACTAGAAGTTTTATGGTAATTTTTTTTTAACAGTCTCGCTCTGTCCCACAAGCTGGAGTGCAGTGGCCTGATCTCAGCTCACTACAACCTTTGTCTCCTGGGTTCAAGTGATTCTCATGCCTCAGCCTCCCAAATAGCTGGCATTACAGGTGTCCACCACCACACCCAGCTAATTTTTGTATTTTTAGCAGAGACGGTGTTTCACCATGTTGGGCACGCTGGTCTTAAACTCTTGACCTCAGGCGATCCGTCCGTCTTGGCTTCCCAAAGTGCTAAGATTACAGGCATGAGCCACTGCACCCAGCCATATAGTGATTTTTTTCTAAAGACAGGTACCTTATTTTTCCTCCTTCATAAAATAAACTTATTTATATTGTCTTAATGAAATTAATAAGACTTAACCAGTCCTTTCTCTTTTTAAAATAACTAATAAATGTGTAACTTTGTCACTTCCCCAGGAATTGTTTAACGGTGGGACGTGTCCTTCCTTCCATTTCCTTTTTGGCTTGGAAATCAGAATGAGGAGGATTGTCTTTGCTGGTGGTATTATCTTATCCTGCCTCTTAGGTGGTAAGTTGTTAGGACAGCATAAGTTAAAAGGATAGAAAATTATTGAAAAATTGTAGAATTACCATATGACTAAGTGGAGAGTGACCTTAAATAAGGGAATCTGAAAAGTACTGCTGTAGAAGCCACCTTCTCTTGCTCTTCCCGCTAAACGTACTCTTGGTAACCATCTTCTGACTCTAACAGACTCTGCCTGCTGACCTCTGGGTTCAGCCTCTGGGTGCTTATAACATGGTCTGAGTAAGCACTCAATTAACAGTAAGAGACCACATTTATTGAGCACTTATATATTCAGGTTCTGTTCTAAACATTTCATTAGTATTATTAATAATTCATTTAATTCTCATGATCTTTAAGTTAGGTGCTTTTATTTCTTATTGTAAAGATGAGGAAATTGAGCAGAGAGGTGGTGAACCACATATTGCTATTATTATCACTAAGCTAGAACTAACCAAACTAGTTTGGAAGCCCTTATAAGGATGGCAAAGTAAGTGAATTAAGTATAACAAAAGAAGCATAGATTTAAGCATAGATTTAAGCATAGATTTAAGAAGAATTAAGTATAACAAAAGAAGATAGAAAGTGCCTGCTAGCACTTTCCCTTTTATAAGAGCACTTTTCCACCAATTCTCACATTCCTCCATTTATAGAGGAACCACATAAGGAGATAACAAGGAGTTTTCAAATTCCTTCTAGAGAATTCTTAAGGACTCTCAAACTAGGTAGATGTTCATAATGGTAACATCTCTAAACAGACATGTGCAAGCACCATCATGGGAATTCTCCCTCACGGAAATGGTGACATGGTTATGAACACAGATGCTCTATACTGTGCCCAGAAGTTAACAGAGCAGTCTCTTAGAGTTAGAGGGTGGCAGAGGAAGGAAGAAGATAAGGTGGCTTCTACACCAGTACTTTACAAATTTAACATACATATGAGTCACCTGGGGATCTTGTTAAAATGAGTCTGATGCAGTAGGTCTGAGGTGAGGCCTGAGATTCTGAATTTCCAACAAGCTTTCAAGTGATGCTGGTGCTGTTGTCTGGAGACCACACTTCAGTAGGAAGAACCTGCAAGTCATCCCAGAAATAAATACAATTCAAACATGACTTATGATGGTTCAACTTATAATTTTTTGACTTTATGTCAGTGCAAAAGTGATATGCATTCAATACAAATCATACTTTGCATGCCTATACAACCATTCTGTTTTTCACTTTCGGTATAGTATTCAATAAATTACATGAAATGTTCAACACTTCATTATAAAATAGGCTTTGTATTCAATGATTTTGCCCAAGTGTGGACTAATGTAAGTGGCACGTTTAAGGTGGGCTGTGACATTTGGCAGGTTAGGTGTATTAAATGCATTTTCGACTTGAGATATTTTCAGGTATATTTGGATGTAACCCCATCATCAGGGGAAAAGCAGGTGTATTGAGACTTGGAGACTTGGTATCAAATACTGGGGTCACCAACTCATAAGCATAAAGTTTCTGGCCACGTAATATAAATGAGGGTAGCCAGCCAGCTACATAAAAGGAAAGGCTCTTCTAAAGGAGGACAGCTGGTATGCAGCTGCAGATGTTTGCTGCCACAGAGAATGCAGAGTCCAAGATTGCCAAATCTCCTGATTCTTCCGGAGAAGCCAGAAACTCAAATTCGTAGGAGAACTCTCCCAATTTTTAAATGCTGACAACTGACACAATTTCTGAAAATTCTATGCAAGTTAAACACACCAGAGCTGGACCACAAGACCACCAGTCTATGGCCTCTGCTTCTCACACTACCCTCATTACTGAATGCAGTGCACAATGGAGTTCTGATTACCCCATAGAGAGGGCAGCAAGAAATTCAAATTGTACAGCTTAGGTCTCTGCTGGATTTGAAGTATTCATATTGTTCTGCTATAAAGAATGTGGAAGGAAGCATATGAGTAAATGAAAAATCACAAGAAAAACATCTTCAGTATCTTGGGTGTGATGAGAAAATAATTCAGTAGTAACATTAACTTTGATGGACACAAGAAAGACGTATGGGCAAAAGATGAAAATTCAACATAAAGAGAAATTTTTTTGTTGATTTTTACCTGGCTCTGAGGACTACCCATGAAGTAAAGGGTGGTTATTTTTTAAAAAATCACCATCATCATGATTTATAATATATGCTTAAATATACATATATGTGAATTATAGGCTGGGTGCAGTGGCTCATGCCTGTAATCCCAGAGCTTTGGGAGGGCCGAGGGGGGTGGATCACCTGAGGTCAGTAGTTTTTTGTGTTTTTGGTTTTTTTTTGAGACAGAGTCTCACTCTCTCACCAGGTGCCAGGATGGAGTGCAGTGGCGTGACCTCGGCTCACTGCAACCTCCGCCTCCCAGGTTCAAGGAATTCTCCTGCCTCAGCCTCCCAAGTAGCTGGGACTACAGGTGCACGCCACCATGCCCAGCTAATTTTTTTGTATTTTTAGTAGAGACGGGGTTTCACCATATTGGCCAGGATGTTCACGATCTCTTGACCTCGTGATCTGCCCGCCTCAGCCTCCCAAAGTGCTGGGATTACAGGCGTGAGCCACAGCGCCCAGCCGGTCAGTAGTTTGAGATCAGCCTGGCCAACATGGTGAAACCCCGTCTCTACTAAAAATACAAAAATTAGCCAGGGGTGGTGGCACATGCCTGTAGTCCCAGCTACTTGGGAAGCTGAGGCAGAAGAATTGCTTGAACCCATGAGGCAGAGGTTGCAGTGAGCAGAGATCATGCCACTGCACTCTAATCTGGGCAACAGAGTAAGAGTCCGTCTAAAAAAAAAATGTATATATATTTATACACACACACACACATATGAATTATAGTATGCATTTAAATAATTATATATAAAAGATCTTACTTGGCTAATAAAGTAGTAAAGAGAATAGTATACTTCAGAATTAAACATGTAAGGAAAAGTTCATTTTACAACTAACCTGAAACATTAAACTTAGTTGTCAAATTGGAATATATTACATAGTAGATATGTTAATAAAACCAACAGGAAATGTTCAAACCAAAAAAGACTGGAAGAAAGAAAATGGGATCCAGGAACATATTTGTAAGTAAGCAGACAACTAAACAATGACAGCAAAAAGGCCTAGAAGTTAAGGCATCATCTTCAGCCATAGTGAAGGATGTCAGGGTCAAGGTTTCAGGAAGAAGAAGGCTATGGTTGCTGGGTGTGGAATCAGGAGAGGCAGTCTGAGGGGGAGGGAGAGAAACTGGAACAGATTTCACCCAGGAAAACAGTTTAGGGGCTTTGGGCAAGGAGGGCAGTGATCCGATATCACATGGGCTCTCCACTTAAGGGCGCCTCTTGGCACCAAAGGTCTGAGTAATATAATGAGTCTCTAAGTGCAAGATGTAAAATTGACTGATCATAAATTCAGGAGGAAAACTTACTCCAGGATAACCTGAAGAAACAGCAGGGCTAGTATTCCAGGCAGGCAACTGACCGATCCAAGAAGAGCCAAGACCTCCAGCAAGAAGGGTGATCAGAAGGTTTGGGATATGCAAAAGGTAGGGAGCTCCAGGGAGACAGTGTGCTTGCTAAGAATAGGGGCTTAGATTCCAAAACTATAGACTGTTTTCCCCTCTCTCTCCCGCTTACCTAAGCTATTAAGGCCTCAGTTTTCTTTTCTGTGAAATGCAGACATATATAATACCTGCCTGAAAGGTATACTTTGGGAAATAATTGGGCTTATGAATGTAAATGGCTTAGCAGAGTCCTTGGCATAAGCTCAATTCCTTACAAATATTTGTTGATTGATTATTGATTATGAATGGAAAGTCTGCCATGCTTAGTGGAAGAACAAATGTGAAATTTCCCAAGTGTCTCTAGTTGAGGTTGAGGCTGGGGAAAAACATCAACAAAGATCAATTAGCCTCATCAACTAGACTGTTTTCTATTAAAAAGTATCCCTTCTATCCCCCAATATGGCAGAGGAAGATACAAAACCCAATGCATAAAATATCTAGTAAACCCTTCTTTAGGGCCGTAAATGAATAAGAATGACATGACAGTGGTCATCATATAGTGGAAGATGGAAACTGTGATCACTCAGAGAAATTTTGGCTCAATTTCAAAAGAATCTTTTAACCATCTGAGCTGTTTTTAATGGCGATCAGTTCTCCATCACTGGCCAAAGCTCCCTGCAGAAGCTATAAGAAAGATCCCTGAATTGGAAGAATCAACGATTTATAAACATTGGACCAGACATCAATAGCCAAATCATATCCCCTCAGCTATTTCTGCATATCTAAAATACAAATTCTCAAGCTTCACCTTCCATCGATTCTAACTCAGGTTTTTGAGGGCTCTGGGAATCTGTGTGTTTATTTAATTTGCTCAAATCTGATGCACAGTAGAATTTGGAAACCAATCTTCCAGATAATGTCTCCCAACCTTACCAATATACCAGTTCAAGAATCTCTGGGCTATTTCTTTTCACTTTGTCATCCAGGCTGGACTGTAGTGGCTCAGTCTCGGCTTACTGCAACCTCTCCCTCCCAGGTTCAAGCGATTCTCCTACCCCGGCCTCCCAAGTAGCTGGGACTACAGGCACATGCCACCATGCCCGGCTAATTTTTGTATGTATTTTTAGTAGAGATGGGGTTTCACCATATTGGCCAGGCTGGTCTCGAACTCCTGACCTTGTGATCTGCCTGCCTCGGCCTCCCAAAGCGCTGGGATTATAGGTGTGAACCACGGCACCCAGCCTGAGTTCTTTTTTCTTTTCTTTCTTTCTTTTTTTTTTTTTTTTTTTTTTGAGACAGAGTCTCTCTTTGTCACCCAGGCTGGAGTGCAGTGGCGCAATCTTGGCTCACTGCAACCTCCACCTCCCAGGTTCAAGTGATTCTCCTGCCTCAGCCTCCTGAGTAGCTGGGACTGCAGGCGCATGCCACCATGCCTGGCTAATTTTTGTATTTTTAGCAGAGACAAGGTTTTACCGTGTTAGCCAGGATGGTCTCGATCTCCTGACCTCATGATCTGCCCACCTCAGCTTCCCAAAGTGCTGGGATTACAGGCATGAGCCACTGCGCCCGGCCGAGTTATTTCTACATAAACAAAATGAATAGCATTTTTGAGCCACTGAATTTGAATATGGAAGATAACCAAGATGTAAACATTAATCAAGCAATAAATATTCACGACTATACAGTCAAGAACTGACTATATATAATGTGCTACCTTAGGCACTGAAATGAAGTCCTAACAGTGGATATGTGGCTGAAATTAAATTTTCTGGTAAAATAATTTTGGTGTGATTTAATTAAACACTGAGGAACTGAATGAATTTTAACCCAAGTTTTTTAGACCACCTGGGCTCCATTCCTGTCTGATTACCATAGTTCAAGGGGCTTCCAATTCATAAATGGAGCATATACTTTGAAATTTCCCTCATTAAATTTCTCAAAATAATAAATAATTTTAGCTGGGCGCACTTTGGGAGGCCAAGGCAGGCAGATCATCTGAGTCAGGAGTTTGAGACCAGCCTGGCCAATATGGTGAAACCCCATCTCTACTAAAAATTTAAAAATAAGCCAAGCATGGTCGTTCTTCCGGCTGCCTTCCTCCTCTCTTCCTTTCTCTGCCATCGTGGTGTGTGCTTTACTCCATTTCTCACCATGTCTTCTCACAAGACGTTCAGGATTAAGCGATTCCTGGCCAAGAAACAAAAGCAAAATTGTCCCATTCCCCAGTGGATTTGGATGAAAACTGGTAATAAAATCAGGTACAAATCCAAAAGGAGACATTGGAGAAGAACCAAGCTTGGTCTGTAAGAAATTACACATGCGATGGCACACATATTTATGCTGTCTGAAAGTCACAATCGTGTTACCAAATCAAGCTGAAAAATGTCACCGCTGTCTGGAGAAGTTTGAACAGTTTCCTTTCTGTATCTGTTATGAAGGCATTAGTTAGTACAACCCACATTGCTTCCATTATTCATGTTAAAAAAAAAAAAAAAGGTTTTGGTTGCCTGGGTTCAGTAATAAATATGTGAGACCTTTCACTTCTAAAAAAAAAGAAAAAAATTAGCCAAGCATGGTGGTAGGTGCCTGTAATCCCAGCTACTCAGGAAGTGAGGCAGGAGAACTGCTTGAACCTGGGAGCTGGAGGTTGAAGTGAGCTGAGATTGCGCCATTGCACTCCAGCCTGAGTAACAAGAGTGAAACTCCACCTCAAAAAAAAAATGTATGCAGGGTTTTAGGATTAATTTTTAAAATATTGCTTACTCGCTGGGTGCAATGGCCCACACTTGTAGTCCCAGCACTTTGGGAGGCCGAGGCAGGGAGTCCAGCCTGGGCAACATGGAGAAACCTGTCTCCACTAAACATGCAAAAAGCTGGACATGGTGGGTGTGTGCCTGCGGTCCCAGTACTTGGGAGGCTGAAGTGGGAGGATCACTCACTTGAGCCTGGGAGGCGGAGGCTGCAGTGAGCTGACATTGTGCCACTGCACTCCAGCCTGGGTAACAGGAGGGAGGCCCTGTCTTAAAAAAAAAAATATATATATATATATATAAAAAACATATATATTTTATATATATATTTTTGATGTCTCAAAAAATAGTGAATCGACTTTTATATATAAAATGTATATAAATATATATTAAAAACATCTTTTTAATATATATATTAAATATCTTTTTAATATATATATTTAAAAGATATTTTTAAAATATATATATTTATATATAAAGTCAAAAATCACTATTTATTGATCTCTCTTCCTTTTCTTCTCCCTCATATCTAGGACTTTCTCCTTATTTTTCTACCCCTGTGCTTGGAGATATTGGAGGTATGATTTGCAGAGCATGCAATCTCTCAATCCCCTTCCATGGATGTCTTTTAGACTTGGGAACCTGCAAGACAAAACCTGGTCAGTACTGTATAAAAGAGGTCCACATTAAAGGTAAGTTTCAACACTATAAAACTTTTCATTAAAATAAGCACAGAGAAAATGCTTATCACAGCAAACTTTCATATGCCAGATGCTACACTGAGGGCTTTACCAGGGCTACATTATACCAACAAAACAATGAAAAGAGCTGGATGGATCCTGTCACTACCCCCATTTTACAGATGAGAAATCTGAGACACAAAAGGATTAAGTAATTTGCACAGTTACGCAGCTAATGAGTCTTACAGACAAGATTCAAACGCGAGTACTCTGACTCCAGAGCACACATTCCTAATGAACCTATATACTGTCTCATTCACATCACTCACGCCCTCACAAAGAAGTAACACACAATTGGCATAGCCCTTCTAAACTTGGGCCTTGTGCACCAGCTGCATGCCCATTAAGCTGGCATTCTCTAAAACATAAAATCCAAATAATGAAACATCAGAAGAAAATACTGGGAAGCATATTTTAAGTTTGAAAGAAAGGAGGTTAGCTGGGCATGGTAGCGCACCCCTGGAGCAGTCCCAGCTACCGGGAGGCTAGGTGGGAGGATCACCTGAGCCCAGGAGGTTGAGGTTGCAGTAAGCTGTGATCATGCCACTGCATTCTAGCCTGAACAATGGAGTGAAACCCTGTTTTGAAAACAACAACAACAACAAAGAAATAAAGAGAGGAGGCCTCTTTAACATCCAAAATCCAGACTGGGCACAGTGGCTCATTTCTGTAATCCTAGCACTCTGGAAGGTAGAGGTGGGTGGATTGCTTGACCTTAGGAGTTCAAGACCAACCTGGGCAACATGGTGAAACCCTGTGTCTACAAAAAAAAAAAAAAAAAAATTAGTTGGGCGTGGTGGCTCACACCCGTAGTCCCAGCTACTCAGCATAGAGGCTGAGGCAGAGAACTTCCTTGAGCCCAGGAGGCAGACGTTGCAGTGAGCCCAGATTGAACCACCGCATTATAGTCTGGGCGACAGAGTAAGACATTGTCTCAAAAAAAAAAAAAAAAATCTCAAACCCAAAAGTTGTAAAGGAAATAATAAATACATTTGCATATATCAATATTTTAACATTTATAAAATGTGTGATAACTCCAAAATGTAAAAGATAAGAGATTAACTGGGTGAAAATATCTGAAACATAGATAACAGGGAAAAAATATTAATACATATCCAGAATAAAGAACTTCAAAAATAATTTTTAAAAGATCAACAATCAAGGGGAAATACATTATTAAAGGAAGTATGAAGGCAATTCCCAGAAGAAGAAATATAAGTAACTTAAAAATGTAAAAGCCTGCTCAACCTTGTTAGTAAAAATTAAGGAAATGCAAATTATGGAAACAATATAATATTTTTAACCCATCAGCTTGGTAAAAAATATAAAAGTTTTATTACATCAAGAGTTAGTGACAGTATGGGGAAATGGGAACACTCATACATTTTCAATGACAGCTTAGTCTGGTTCTGCATCTTTTTAGACAATTTGTGAATTTCCATTAAAATTTTAAATAAATGGCCTTCTACAAAGCAATTCTATTTCTTGACATATACTGTGGAAAAATATTTACATTTAACACATGTATCAAGGTTATCACTGCAGCATTAGGTTTAATGGAAAAGTAATAGAAATGACCTAAATGTTCATCTATAGGGAACTATTCATTAAACTGTGTTATATCCAGCCATGGAGTGCCATGCAACACTCAGAATGAACTAGATCTCTTTGTTAACATGAAGGAATCTCTAAAACATTGCTGAGTGGGAAAAAATTCAGTTGTCAACAAGTAAGTTCAGTATACCACTGATGAAGAAAAATCCACAAAACAGGCCTCTAAATTTTTCTGTGGAACTGGAAGGGGAGAATAAAAATTAGAGGAGATCAAAGTTAGTTTGGAGAGAGGATGAGAATCATGGGGTCACATCACAAGGTGTTTTGGTATTAAGAGGGTTACTTGAGTTCTGTTCAATCTTTCTAGTTTAGGTTCCCTCTCCAAGGTCAGTTCTCCACTTTGCTAGTCACAACCCCTTCTTTATGGAAGGGGAAAGATATGCAGACCCCGGGGGCCATGAGATGTTGGCTCTTCTCTTCCTGAATGTGGACAGAGAGTCATCTAGTCAGATGGACATCAGAATTAGTATGATGTATAAGAAAGAGCCTGGAAGCTTATTCAACAAAATATTAACAATAGTTCTTGATGGGTCGAAGGCCTGGAATGACTATGATGTTTTTGGAAGAGCAGTTTCCTAATTTGGGAAATTTTGCCATTTACATTGATGCAAAACAAACAACTGAACCTCACACTTTTGATAGTTTTTTCAATAGGGTTTCTTGTTTCTCAACTTTTACACTATTGACATTTTGGGCAGGTGAATTCTTAATGGAGGGCAGTCTTTTGTATTGTAGGATGTACAGCAGCATCGCTGCTTCTACTTACTAGATTCCAAGAGCACCTTCAACCCCACCCTGCCACCCCAACCAATTCTGACAACAAAAATGTCCCTGGGTATTACCTGTTGTCCTGGGAACGGGAAAGCAAAATCATCCCCAGTTGACAAACCACTGTTTTGTCCAAGTTTCCAATCATCACATTTTGCTGCCTTTGAGGAATTGCTCCTTTTGTCCTCCTACCTATAACTGAAGCTGGGGTGGTAGAATTATAGGATGTTACTGTCACTTATTTTGTACTTTTGTGCATTTTTTGTATTTTCTACAGTGAACATGCATTATTACTTCTTTAATTGGGGAAGAAATTAAGTGAGGTCATGCATATGCCTCCATTTCTGAGAGGCACTTAACACGTCTAAAGGATCCTTTGGTACATTCAGCCCTTTGAATAACTCACAACCTGGGGAATACTGGGGGATGATTATCAGGAAGCTTCAAAACAGCTAACAGTTTAGAAATTCTACATAGTCAATGGCAATTGCATGGTTTTTTATAATCTGAGTTTGAAAGCTTTTTTTTTTTTTTTTTTACAGTTTCAAAACTTGTATATGCAATGTACCCAACTACAACAGTCTAAGTGGGAGTTCTTAAAGGAAAAATAATGAAATGAACCATTCTTAATGGTGGAAACTCTAGATTCATATCTTCATAAAACTAAAGCTTTGCTTAGTATTCTTTTTAACCTATTAGTTATCTGCAGCATCTGAGGCTACATAGGTTGTTCCTCCCAAGAAACTTCCCTACCTCTTTTCTTTCCGTCAGGTGGCATTGAATGGTATTCAATTAAAGGCTGCACAAAGAACATATCAGAGTGCTTCAAGAGAATTATATCTCCGTATGAAATTCAAGCTGCTCACTGCTGCCATCGTCCTATGTGCAATTTGTGAGTCAATGGCCCATATCTAAAATGTTTGGGAGATCAATCAGTCTCAAAGGCTGATCTGGCTACCACTAAATGATGGCTACTGTCAATTACCCCACTTCAGAAACCTCAGACCTTTGTAGGTGGAAGGAGCTCTGGTCTGAAATTGACTTTGGTTTTCAAGGTTCCGGGTATCTCCCCTACCACCTCCAACTCATCTCAGAAATATCCCTTTCAACACCATTTCTCTCTTCTCCTCCTTCTGCTTAATTTACCTTCCTACCACAGGTGATTTCAAGGCTACAAAGAAGTGAAAATGTTAGTGATTCTCCAAGTCAAACTATGCATGTCACCTCTAACTACTTTTATTTCCCTAAATATTTCCATAGTCCAAAATATGGTTACAAATGTATCACAAGATGGCAAGCGACCTGAGAATATTCATTTGGTTTCCAGAGCAGATCACCTTGCTCCTTTGGGGTGATTTATGGTATAGGAGAAACTGACTTAACAAATACCATAGGAAAAAAAAAATAAGCTGTGAATCAGCAAACCAGGCCTGCAGGAAAACTATGAACCCAAACAACAAAGTGCTGAGGCAGGTGGTAGGGCTGGCACTATTTCTTCCATCTGCCTGAGAGTTTATCCAAATTTTGAGTTTTCTATACCTTAACCATGCCTAAATGCTTTGGCTTGTTCAATTTTGGCAGATTAAGCAGTTCAAGGTAAGCAGAGGAGTAAGTTCCCAACCACAGGGAATTTCAAAGCAGTAGGGACATACTTTGAACTACATTTCACATTTTGCAATGCATCACATCTTCTGTTACTTGCTTTCAATGCCCTACTTTGGCAGCATGAAGAGTACTGCATTTTAAAATTTAATTTAAAACTGCCTTTCTCTGTATTTTCAGAAGTTTGCAAATTTAAAGGATAAATAATAAATATCAATAAAATCTTGTCTGTCTTTTTTTTCAGGACTTAGGACAATACACAGTGAGCCCTCAACAAATGCTTCTCTATAAACTTTGAAAAAAACAAGCCTTTTTTTTTAAAGGCCAAGAAAGCTCAATTTTTTTCCCTTCAGACCTGTTACAACTATATTCCTTAGAGTATATCTCTGAAACTAAGAATAAAAGTCTCCATCTTGAGACTGAAATCCAGTTCCCTTTATTCTATTTGGCAATAGCCACATTAATAAAGAATGGTTACCTTCCATCAGTAAATTTCATGAAAATTTAACTTTTCTTTCTCTTGGGTGTTTTATTTTATCTTATTTAATTTTTTGAAGTATGGTATTTTTTTTGTAGAGACAGGGTTTCGTCATGTTGCTCAGGCTGGTCTTAAACTCCTGGGCTCAAGCAATCCACTTAACCCTCCCAAATTGCTGGGGTTACAGGCATGAGCTACTAGGCTTTAGTTTTTTTTTAATGTTACCTTATTTACCCAATATCACGGTGGTGGGAAATGACAAATCACATACTCCATAAGTAACCCCAGAGTGCTTTCCAAGCCTAATTCACAATCTGGGAGATGTAACGTGAGCACTAAGGAGCAGGTGCTAATTTTTTGGGTCACTAAGTATTATAGCTGTTGACCTCAGCAAGTCCCGTCAGCCTCTCTGCACCTCATTCTTGGATCACACCATCTCTTACATTTCCTCAAATTCTAACATTTTATGACTCAACATCACCTAAGACCTTTTGTTTTCTGAGATTAGAAACAAGACTTGGTGCTGAGCACAGCCCATGAACAGGCCCTGATTAAATGACCATTGTGCACCTGTTACCAAAACACCAGGGCTTTGGTCCAGGTCCTGCTGCTTGCCGCACGGAAAGCCAATCACCGAGACCAGTGTTTTCAAGGAAGCAGGCTTAAACAGGGTGCTGCACCTGAGGTGATGGAGCTTGGTTCTCAAACCCATCTCCCTGACCCACTGAAATGAGGGGTTTACATAGCAGGGAAGAAAAGTAACAATGTGTGAGAAAACAGGAACTAGGGAGGGATGTAAGCAGTCATGATGAATGAGGGGTCTGGCATCTCATTGTCAGGACCCTAGTGATCTGGTGAGTTTCAGTTTTCTGATATCCTTTTTCAGAGGCCTGAAGGTCCTTTACTGAGGAAGGAACTCAGCTAAAACAAATATGTTTCAAACTTTAAGACCAGAAGGGTCAATTTCTGTGTTTATCAAAAAGAACAGTCCATGGGACTATTGGGTCAGTTTCACATCGGCTCTGTATAATTTATGAAAACCAGAGGAGAAATACCAGCTATCAGAGCAGTGATTATCACAGAAGCAGTTTACCTGCATGCCAGTCTGACCCAGCAGTCACCATGGAAACAAAAATAATCTTGATCACTTTGGTGTGGTAGACTGAATGATGGTTCCCCAAAGATGTCCACATTCTAATCCTTGGAGCCTGACACACACACACACACGTTTGTGCTTAATGTACTTAAATTAAGGATTTGAGATTAGGTAATTATCCTGGATTATTTGGGTGGGCCCAGCACAATCACGAGGATGGAGGAGAGCCCAAGAAAGAGGAGATGAGTTTATGGAAGCAGGGGCCACAGATTTGAAGGTGCTATGCTGCCGACACTGAAGAGGAAGGACGGGGTCATAGGCGAGGAATTTGAGCAGCTTCTAGAAGCTGGAAAAGGCAAGGAAGCAGAGTCTCCAGAGAGTTTCCAGTGGGAATGCAGCCCTGCTGACACATTTCAGACTTCTGACCTCCAGGACTGTAAGATAATAAATTTGCTTTCTTTAGACGTGGTAATTTGTTACATTGGCCAAGGGAAATGGCTTGCAGTGGGTGATGTGGCATTTCCCCCCCCTTAAAGGTAACACCAAGGCAATACTGAATTTCTGTGGGATCTAATTTCAAGAGAGGCACCTTGGTGTCATATGGTCTTCCTTTCATTCTCAAAACCTCTCAGTCATAATTTCCCTCAAAACACACAGATGGCCTACAGACACGCGATCACATCTTTTCAGCTGACACCTCCCACTCAAGCCCCTATCCATTCAAGATTTCTTTAGCTAACAAGTTTATTTTTTTCAAGTCCTTCGCACCCAAAGACAACCTGATATCAGATTAGCCTGAATGTAATCTATTTATAAGACATCAGCCTGAAGGGCCCATGGATTCAGGAACCTCCCTTGATCCTCTGAATACTAGGTTGGCTTCCTTATTGATTACATTTTTCCTGCAACTAAAACAGAAGTCAGTGGTTAATGCCTCCTAATTCATTTAAATGTCTCTGCAGTCAATACATGAGGGGCATCTGGAGGATGTGGCAGGGAAGAGACTGAAATGATATTAGCAAAGGAGAGACGTAACATTTGCCTGTGAGCACTCAGTTACGTCTTCTGAAGTTCCAAGAAGCACATTTTTTATAACTGAAATAGCCATTACTGGCTATCCCACTGTACTGATGATGAACCTGAAGCTTCCATAGCTGACAGGTGGCCAAGGGGAACTTGCAGTGATCCTCACTCTTCCACAAATGCCAGCCCATGAGAGAACCACTTGGGGGCCAAGAAGCTGAGTGTCTGGGATGCTGCTATTCTGACTCCTCAGTGTATGCTTCCGGCCTCTGAAAAAGGAGACACAGGGGCTTTTAAAGGAATCACAGGAGGCGGGGCACGGTGGCTCACGCCTGTAATCCCAGAACCTCAGGGAGGCTGAGGAAGATGGATCACCTGAGGTCAGGAGTTCGAGACCAGCCTGACCAACATGGAGAAACCCTGTCTCTACTAAAAATACAAAAATTAGCGGGGCATGGTGGCTTATACCTGTGATCCCAGCTACTTGGGAGGCTTAGGCAGGAGAATCACTTGAATCCAGGAGGTGGAGGTTGTAGTGAGCCGAGATCACTACATTGCACTCTAGCCTGAGCAACAAGAACAAAACTCAGTCTCAAAAATAAAAAATTTAAA